AAAATATTCCTCGGGCATCGCCCAACATCGGACCGAAATTCGGAAACATACTAACATTCCTCGGGCATTGCCCGACATCGGACTGAAATCCGGTAAGCATATAAAACTTCGTTGGGTACTGCTCGACATTGGACCTTAATCTGGAACATACTACCATACATAAACGGGTCGGCATTGGTGCCTTCGACCCATTCCTAGGGGAGGAAGCTCACCTCGCACTGCTGAAGTCCCGCGAATAATTCTCTGGCTACTGGCTGACAAACCCCGGAACTGTCAACATCAAAACAAAACCCAATTAACCATTTGGGTTTCAATACATAACCATAAATCCACACTTAGTTTAAAAGGACCATTTTACCCCTATCCTAGCTTGGTCCAAGACCAAGGCCCAAATTCACACCCTGAAGGCCTAAAAGCCAAATAAAGAACCAAGGCCCAATTATGGCCTAATTTTCCAAATTGTTCCCAAACCCATCACATGGGCCTTACTCTAAAGCCTATCCAAATATTCTAGTCCATATACTTGTTCTTGGGTGGCCCATCAATAGCCCAATCACCAAAGCCCAACAGAAAGGCCTAATTCATGGCCCAGTCAAGATTAGGGTTTTCACATAAAATGACGATTAGGATTAACTATTCTTACGTAACCCATTAAGGACTTAATCCCTTAATCCAATCACTCCACTATGTCAAACATAGAATGTAATCGAGCATAATTCATACTTCAATCCACTGGTCCAAACGCGGGTCCCGACAATCCAAAACTAACATCTCCCAAAATTAGGGTTTTTCTAAACTCTAATTAGGGTTTCCAACCGAATCACAAGCTAGTTAGTCCAGTGGTTACGTTTTTAGGTCAATTAGGTGTCATTAGGTCGAGCACCACCCACTACCACCTTTGGCGGTGGTGGTTTTTCCTTCAATCCTTCCGCCAAAAATGTTTAAACAATCCCATTCTATTAGACAACATACACGTCAACACCATAATATACACCCACCCACCACCACACGATAGCTGGTGGTGGCAGAATTGTCGTACAAGATGGTAGCCACCATGGTTGGCGGCCATGGTGGTTCTCTTCTCGGTTTCCGACCAACAACCACTCATATACACCTCTCTGCTTATAGCAGCAACACATAAACACACACAAACACGACCTGAACACGTAAAACACACCCTATCAACAATCTTATGGCGGTAGGCGGTGCTTTGAGATGACAGCCACCACCTCACTGTGGTGGTGGCGGGTTTTCTTGATTCCATGCCAAGCGACACACGCCCACACGCCCACATACTCATCTCGAGCTAAACACCGAAATGCACTCCGATCTCAGCCACTCTTGCAGTGGTGCAAGGCAGTCAGAGGAAGGATGCCAACGCGACAGCCGCCCATAATGGCGACAACATAGCGGCAGAAAAAGTTGGAGAAGGGCACTGCAGTTCAACCGGTCAATGGGAGCAGCGACGTTTGTCGGTCCTTACGTGGTTAGGAGGTGGCGGCCAGAGGTTAGGGGGTATAAAGGTGGCAGATGTTGTATATGATTATGGATAGGGTTATGGGACGCATGGGTGACGGGTTATAATTCTCGTCCAATTCCAAACATTAGTCCATATTAACACTTTCATCCCCTCCTTCTCCTTTTTCTTTCAACTTAAGTCCAGAATTTATCCTTTAGCTCCTGCCTCCAAAAATCCTTTCATAATAAGTCCAAAAATTACCAATCATACCTTAACTTCTAAAATCATTTTCAAATTAAATCCATAATTTACCAAACAACTGTCAACCTTCAAAATTATTTACAAACTAGTCCGGAAATTACACTCTTAACCCCCAAAGTCAATATTATATAATTTAACCCCCGAAACCAACGCCTTGCTAAATTATTCCGAATTTAGGGCAACTATTCATTTAATAATTTTATCTATTTATTTATTTAATAAACGAAATGTTACACATCAACTGACAAGGACTGAATTATTAGTGACTTGTAGAACGAGGTCCGTCAATTGAAAAATGCGGTCTGTGAATGTCACGAGTAGTTGCGGTCTCGGGATGAGTGTTTAACGGAGCATGAAGCTACTTTAGCCATGGTTCTACACCTTATCAATAAGATTCCCGTAGACGATGTTGGTACCTCGAAGGGGATGGAGGTACTTTTTTAATTATTTCATCGTTTATGGTCGTTATGTTTTTGCATCGTTTATAAGTATACATTATTGAACCGTATAGGGATACTACAATGACAATGAGTTATGGGAACATGATCATGTCTTCTGCACCCCTAAACAACTGCTGAATGACAACCCCGAACAGCCGCTGAATGATAGCCTTGAGAAGGCGTCTCTGGTTATTCACTCGTCGGATGTAAAAAAAGATTTAGTGGGATGAATATAAAACATCATTTCCAACACCTCTTAGGCGTTCCAAGCGCCAAAAAGTTATGTCCATATGGTATAAGTCGCCATGGATACAATGAAGAGGAAATGTGTTACACGGAAACAACTAGCATCGTTGGACAATCTTTTAGATCCTACCGTACACACTGTTTATAAAGAACGGGATAGCTCGTTGTTGGTTGGTCACAATTATTTGACCGGTTTTGCTACGCTTGAGTTTTGGACACAGTTATATGCAGATAGTCATGGAGGATGGTTGTCATGTGATGTAAGTAATATAATTATTTGTTTATTACATAATACACTTCTAATAACAATACTTACATTACTGCAAAAAAAAAATAATTAGCAACATATTATGATGTGGATCTCATTTCTGGTAGAGCGTAGAGCGGATGATGCTCAGTGGACGGTTGTGGTGTCAACTTTCAACACTGATACATTTGACTGGAGTGACATGGTTAACAGATCCGTTTACCTGGCTTGGATAGAGTGTGGTATGGTATAATTTTGTTTGGATTACATTACTTGAGTATTTATATACTAATTAATTATTTCTAACTTTTTTTAGCTTTACATCCCAATCAATATACCACATGCTCATTGGTTTGTGGGTGTCTTAGATTTGAAGACATTCCAAATGGCTATATACGATAATCATTAGAAGGGTGGCTACTATTTGAAATGAGGATTAGTTTATAGGTATGAGGGCCCACATCCACAAACTACTAGTGGGAGTCTACTACTCGGGTACTGAACCAATTGATTCAATCCCTCTTGAGAGCTTCAAGATGACCCTCGAAAAGGCCCGAGACGTACCACAACAGATTGAAAACAAAGGGGATTGTAGGGTATATTTGTGTTGGTTCCTGGAGGCATTGATCACCAGGAAATCAATTTCTATATATGGTAAAACCACCGGTCCATGGGTTGTAGGTTATAGAAAACGACTAGTGGGAATTTTTTGAGGTACAAGGACAAAGATAATTTGAACATCGTATTTGTAATATGACCTACAGACACATCCTTTATTTAGTTTACGTAATTATTAGTTGCTTGTTGATTTTCATTGCATTTTATATTTTTTTAAAACCAAAATTTATACATTTTATGAAAGCAAAACTTATACATTAATTTTTTATTTATAAAACCAAAACTAAACAAAGAGCCACATGTCACATGCTATATATATATATATATATATATATATATATATATATATATATATATATATATATATTCCGAAACCGTAGTCTGGAATTGTACTCTAGAATTTCGGAGACCTCTCCGGAACAATGTGTTCTGAAGAATGTGGTTACTTTACAAAAAAAATGATATTTTTTCAAAAAAATCATTTAACAAGGTTAGACTACTCAATTTTCCTATATTAATTGAAGAATACCAAAAGGCATTTGGTCTAACGGTAAAGAGTGATCATTCAAAATGAGAGGTCATAGATTCAAATCTTTTAGGAGACATATGTGGTATTTAGAAGTAGGTTTATAGATAGTTTGACGTTTCAAAAATAAATAAATAAAAATAATTGAGGAAGAGATTACATTAGTGATATTTAGATTTTAGACAACACTATTTGACTTGATGATCCTCAAGATAATCTAACATCCATTGATCACACCTTGCGGTCGAGTCATATTAGGATGAGTTTGGATCCAAATTCGAATCGAAAATCGAAGAACCAAGAATTGATTTAGTAGAAATGTAGAACTGGAAATTAGACCGAAACCCAGTTCTTTCCTCGTCTTTTTCGGTCCAATGTGGTTCCATTGAATCGAATGCTGATCCCTAAGTCATACATCATGCTTCCCAAGGATTGGCTCACATGCCCATTCTACTAAGTGAACTTACTTATATACCGTAACATTCTACCATATATTTGAGTAAATAACTAAATATGTACATGAATAGGTACAACTACCTAAAAGGCTAAACTTGCGAACAACTATAATTGGAAAAACCGGAAATTGAACTGTTTAAACCCAAAATCTAAAAAAAATAAACAAAAATTATATGTTTTGATTTTCAGTTTAGAGAAATATACCAAACCTAACGGTTTCTTGCAAACGCATGTAAAATATGATTTTGGGAAAAGAGGATGTTTAAAAGGAGATTTACATTTACGTGAATCCCCTATTTTCTCTGTTAAATAGCTGCATACCATTTTTCTTCAAAACCCTAACCCTAACAACAACACATGCCCCCTTCCTCTGTTCCTCAACCATAACTCGATCAGGTATGTTGTTCCTCTTCATTTCTTATCAACTCTTCCTAGATTTAATTACATCCTCTTCTTCAATCAAATCATGCATTCGATGAACAGACATCTTCAAATTCTAATTTCCAGCCATTTAGATTGAATCAAATTCACCGTTAGATTCTTTTCAAATCATCTGTTGATGTACAGAGCTGAAGAATTTCAGATTTCCTTGAAATTTTTTGCTCTGTTTTTGTGGAATTGAATATGGTTTATCTAAACTTGAATTGAATTACCGTAGTAAACATGATCGAATTGAAATTAAAGGTGTGTAAAGCTTTCATTTATTGTGTTATTTCTGTACAGATAAGATATTATGTTGTAGAGATAATGGAAGCTAATCACTTGGACTCTAATGTACTTTTGCCCCCACGAAAACGGCTTCTTGCCTGTATGAAATCCCGGAATGGGAATGGCAATTCCGATTCCAATTCCAATTCCAATCCGCCATCAACTTCCAATCCCATGAACGAATTTGGTACCCGTCTCAATAACTTGCTGAGCGTTCATCAGAATGACAATAATCTTTCCCAATTGAAGATCGTGGAGGCTTCAAGATCAGCAGCTGAAGTTGCATCCAAGATTGCAATAGCTGCAAGAGCTTTAGCTGAGAAGAAAGCGGTAATGGCAGCCATTGCCATGGCTGCCGCCAAGAAAGCTTTAGAATTAGTAGCAGCTATTAACGAACAGGAGACTTCATCATCTACCTCAAAGAAGAACAAAAGAAAGAAACATGTTGATGTTCAAATGTTGTATGATAACAACAAGAATTCAAGCGTTGAAAATGGAAAAACAAGTGATGAAGAATTAGCTCGACAATTGCATCATGTCATAAACAGGTCCCCTAGAATTCCTAAGAAGCTTAAAATCCCGCTTCCTTCGGAAAATGGTAGAATTAATGAAGATGAAAATTTGATAAAAGTTGATGAATTTGAAGAGGATAAGGGTATTATTGGTAGGAAAAGGGGAAGAATGAAACAGAAGAAGTTGCCTTTGAGTATTTGTCAAAATCGGGGTCAATTAAACCCTAATGAAGATAGTCGATGGAAAAGCTCTGAATCAGTTGAAAATATAGAAAGGAATTCGCTATCTAAATGCCAGGTGTTCAAGGAAACAACTCGTTTAAAACAAAACAAAACTATACAATCATAATGTTCATGTTCATAGGTAAGTTCACTTTGCTAATTGAGGTAGTAAACTTATTAATGGAATATTTGATATTTTTTATACTTTTGAAATAAATAACAAAATGGTGTTGTGGGCTGATATATCTTATTTCTGCAGGCTCAACATGAACGTGCATAGAATTGTTGGCTTCAAAGACGTGACCATAGAAGTCTATAGTATAAGTGATCTTTTTTTTTTTTTCTTCTCTCATTAGTTTGCATAGTAATCGATTGTGTTTATCATGGTTTTGTAAAGGCAAGAACGTGATTTAATTACTTGAATAATGTTTCCTGTTTTTCTTTTATTATGTTTACATATATATGTAAAATGTCCATTTAACAAATTTTGTATAATGTTGTTTATCTTGGTCTGTCCTCGCTGGCAAACCCTAATCTCTTGCATTTAAGGGATAATGTTGTTCAATTAATGAAGTTATCAGTTTATGTGGTGACAAAAAAAAAATTTGGATTAGCGTATCGGCAAGAAGCTATAAATTAATAAACTCTTGAAAAAATATTCGGATTCGGATTGACTTATATATGTAAATTGACCTAAAATGACATGTAAATTGACCTAAAATGACATGTGAACTGTATTGAAGAGGTTGGAAATGGGTAGGCTTCAAATATATATTTTTTATTTCCCAAATACTTTTTTTAAGCTTATTGATTTTTTTGAAAAATTAATAAGTAAATAAACATTTTTCGAATTTGTGAGGGTGAATAGTTGATCTTTAAGGACAATCTATCATAGCACTCTAATCATCTTTGTTTATCTGAAATTGTAGATAAGAGCTAGTTTGAGAGGTATTAGGGTCTACGAAGCAGGTGAACGTTGGCTATTGGTCGATGTGGTTTCTCAGGTACTGCCATTCCTTGAGGCGAATGGTGACCATTGATGGGGGTTGAGGCTAGTGGTGATCATTTCCAACACACATTTAGGCGAATGGTGACCATTGATGGGGGTTGAGGCTAGTGGTGATCATTTCGAACACACACTTTTATTTCTCTCACATGCTTCAGTACTTGTACAACATGTTTTAGTACTTGTATATTATGATTTTAATTTTGTTTTAGGATCTCAATTATCATTTAATCATTTTAGTTATCATTTTAGGAAATGCTTTAAACATTTAAAAAAAGTGTGTGGCTTGGAAGGATGGATCCTTGGGTTGAGAGTTATGAAAGATGGAAGTGAGAGGAGACATAAATACAAATGTTACACATATATGGCAAGAATGATGGGAAAGATTCATTCCTTCCATGATGTTATTGTTAAGTGTGCCAAACCCAACAAATAATATGGATGCAACAGACTCCAAATACACCGCTTTAATGCACTAAAAATAGTACAAGGCAAGTATGGTCGAACCACAGAGACACGGAATAAAAGTTTATACCTATTTATGCAAGGTACTTTGATCACAAAATGGGGGTTTTATTTGCAAAAGTAAAACAATAAAATAACAATCTATTTTAAAATATGTAGAAATTGAAATAATTTGTAAACAATTTGATTGAATGGTTATAGTTCTAGTTCTCAATATTGTTGTTCTACTTGATTATGACTTGATGTAATTCATGATTACTATTCTAAGTTGGTACTGAAAGATATCAACACGCTCTATCTAACCAAAACACGCTCTTTGACTAGACCTACAGTTACTAATCCAACCTGAACACGTTCTAAGATATTATTGAAAAACTACATTAAGTTTTGTACAAGCTTCCTAACAATGTTCATTTCTTCTCATACGCTCGGAAGTGTGAAAACATGTGATGTATGTTTTACAATAAGAAAAATTATTGTTTGTTACCAATTATTAACTTAATAGAACGATTAGGTGCCCTAAAAGTTAATTAAACTACATAAAAATTAAAATTATGAAAGTGGCCAATTAAACATAAATCAAATTCAAGATTTCTAGTTTAAAAAAATATATATAATCACTAGAATAGAATCACAAATCTAACATCAAATCATATGCTTCAAGTCAAGCAATCAACATGTTTTGAACAAGAACTAGAAATTAGGGTTTCTTAGCTACACATGGATAAGAACAAATCAATCAAAAAGAAAGATGGAATTGGAAATGTTTAATGATTACAAAATGAAAATCAAAAGTGTTCACAATGATTTGGTTTTCTCAAAAGCTCCAAGAAATCTCCCCAAAATTGCCCAAGATTGCCCAAAGTTGCTCCAAAAACGTCTCTCTGAAAAGTATGGCGATCCCCCTTGTTTTATTGATGCTCACGTGCTTGCCATCAGACCATGTGTTTTTAGCATGGTCATGCATTTTGCCCATATGTTTTCGACATGGCCATTTGTCTTGACCATGTGTTTTTGGCATGACCCATGCTTTTTGATAAAAGTCCAATAAGTCTTCACTGTTGGCTCCATCTTCAGTCTAGCTTCACCACGAGTCGTGTTGCTTAAATATAAGATAAGAAAGGACAAACATGAATCGTGTTGGTGTGACATGAACCGTGTTTCAAACGCAGTCCTTTGCTATGATGATAACGCAACAATGACTCACGTTATGTCTTCATGTTTTCTTCCATGGCATGACCGGAAACCTCTTCTTTTCATGCTACAAGCTCCATGCTCCATGCATCTAAGCTCCAAGATCCACAATGCCTGCTAAATAAATAAAAAAATAGTGAAGTATTAGACATTCTTAATGAAATATGCAATTTCCCAAATAATTAACTAAATGTAAGAAGTATGAAGTAGGTTGCTATGAAAGTAAGAAAATAAACATGCAAAATAGGTGCATAAAATGCACCTATCAGTTGTGATTGATATATTGCCATCTGTGTGGTTCTGATTGTGTTTATATTTACTTTGCATATTCATAATGGTTATGATTGATATTACACCCATCACTGGTAGGAGACTAGAAGTCTCAAGCATTTGTCGATGTATGTTTGCTTTTTGTCTATCTTCATACAAGGTTTGCAATTAGATTTTTTTTTACAATTTGGAAAAAAAAAATTAACTTTTTAAATAAAAATGATTTTCCTAATGACCGTAGTGGCTTTCGAAATTATGGGGAAGATCATCTTTGGCGATTAAGCTAATTAGCATGTTTCAAAAAATGTTACACCTCACGTTTGGCCAATCTTTATGTGCCTTTGATGAGATTTGAACATGTCACTCATAAGGGAATGTTTCATCATCCATATCCACTAGGTCATCAAGAGATGATTTTACTTTTAATATAAACTAGTATTTTTGCCCGCTACGCATTGTGGCTACGCAAATACGTTTGTAAATTGAATTTTGACGATTGCATTGATAAATATTAGGTACCATTGCATTTGTTGATAAATAAATATACAAGTTCGATATCATTAGCAAAATTGTTGGTAGATGGGGTAAACACGAAAGTTTAGAAAGTAGGGCGATGAAAATGATATTTTACAAAGTTTAAAGCCGATGATTTGAAAGTGACATTTGATAGACTTGAGGTGAGGTAACTATAGAAAAATCATATTATATAAACTATGGATGTTAAACATGAAACTTTACAAAATGGAGGGATGGGATTGACACTTTAGAAAGTTTTAAGGTGAGGGACTGAAAGTGACATTTTATAAACTAGTGGGTTAGAAAGTGCCATTTCACCAAGTAGAGGGTTGGAAAGAGCCATTTCATGAAGTTGAAGGGTGGCAAGTGTTAGTGGAAATATCCACCAAACTTCGGTACCACTTACTAACTTCAATTCATAGTATCGAATGAAAACGTTTTATATGTGACCAAACTCATACGTATGAAACATACATTAAAATTAAAACAAAAACGAACACAAAATTTATGTCAAAACATATTTAAAAAATTGAATTTATACCGATACATACATAAAAATAAGCAAGTGTACATAAAAATGAGCGAAAAAAATTGAATTAACTTAACGAACGAAAGTTAAAATAATAAAAAAAAATGTAGTATATGTGCCCCGACTCATACATAGAAAACGACAAAGTGTACATAAAAATGAGCACAAAAACATAAATAATAATAATAATAATAATAATAAGTTGAAACGTATATTGAAGATCTTGTATTCGATACATACATAATAAGCATGGGCGAGTTTACATACATTGTAGATGGGTCACATGACCCACCTTATTTTTCAAACCTGATAATAATTTATATAGGAAAAATTTTAGGAACCACCTTGAAATTTTTTTAGGATCTACCTTATAATGTTGGATCAAAATGGTTTGATCAGTTTTAATGACCTAATTAGTTTTTTTTTTTTTTTTTTTTTTTTTTGAAACGATAAATCTAACATACTCCTAAACTACACCTTAAATCCACCTATGTCCACGACGGGACTTGAACCCTCAATCTCAAGGAGGGAGGGCAACACCGAATACCGCTGGACTACAAGCCCTTTGGTTAATGACCTAATTAGTTGATTTATAAATTTATATATACCTAACCCATATAGGTGTCGAAGTAAAATTTATGTGATTTTTGTTACTTATAAAAAGGAAGGTTGATGGGGAGGTTTATTATGGATTGTTTAAACAATAATATTTTCTGTCTTCCACTCTAACATTGTTGAATGGAATTATTTAGGAAAAAAAGTTAATGATTAAAATATCAGACTTTGTTTATGTAACACTTGGAATTTTGGTATGTTCCTTAATGACCCCTTTATAATTTAATTGTTGCATTTGGACCTTGGAGTAGTACGTTGTGCGTACCACTTAGTATGCTTAGCGTACTAGTTGAGAAGCTAGCACACGGGGCGTACCACATGGTACGCTTAGTGTACTAAGGAGGGAAATGTTGCGCATGTGAGGCCTCGTACGCTAGTTGTATGAGGGTTACACTTAGTGTACTCAGAGGATATGGAAACCCTACTTTTAGGGTGTTGCACCATCTATAAAGACCTTAAGTCCCTAGGATTGGCCTCTTTACCAGCCCCCATCTCTTCTAAACCCTAAAATTCGACCTTCAGCCTCCATTGTTGCATTTTTGAGCTCTTAAGAAGTATTTGGTGTTTGTTCTGCTCTCTTTGAAAGGATTGAAGAGAAGTGAAGTTGCATTGCTTAGTGTGAAGTTTATAGATTTAAAATGACCACTTATCTTGCAAGCTTTTGGAGGTATCAAGTTCATAACTTGGATTTTGTATGCTTAGATCTATTTATGTCTCTTTATGTATTGGTTCTTTTTTATGTTTTTGGTCCCTTTTGGGTTGATTGATGAGTTAAGGAGTTTGAAGGGCTTATCCTTTTAGATCTGAGCATGTTATAAGGTATAGAGGTGGAAGCTTTAGGGGGTTTATGGTTTCATGCATGCATTAAGTCACCTATTAAGTCCCTTTTGAGTTTTCAGAGCTTCATTTAGTAATGCATGAACATAAAGTTGGCAACTTACATGGTTAACCAGCTTAAGGAAGTCAGATCTACGTTTTGGAGTAATGCTGTAAGGATTTAAGAGCTTAAAAATGGAAGATGGTTGAATG